TTGGATCTGGGTCACAGGGTGTCATCGTCGAGAAATGTTTGATGCTGCTACCGCAACTACTACTACTACTACTACTACTACTACTACTACTACTGCTGCTGCTGCTGCTGCTGCTTTTTTTGCTTAATGACCTACAAAAGCAAGTCACCTACAAAAAGTTACACCATCTTTCGCTAAAAGAAACTATGTGTAGATGCACAGCAGCTGGCGCTAACGCCTAGTGGCCAGTGAACGGCTGTGCAGCGTGAGCAGTCGCTAGCAGATGCTGCTTGTGTCGGCGTTGAGAGGCGAGAGAAGGGGAGTGGACGCGCATTTGCAATCGGGGTGCAAACGCCGCGGGGAAAAATGCCTAGACGAGAGAGAGGGGAAAGAGCGAGCGTAGGTTAGTAGTAGTGGTAATAGACTTTTCAGCCAAATTTACAGGCCGACCATTTCGACCGCCTGTGCGATCAGTCGACACTGTTCTTCTTCCCCTTCGGCGCCGATCCAGTCGAGCCAGGAGGTGATGGAAAGGGATGGGGAAGGGTAATAGCTGGATTGCTGAGCAGTTGGGCAGTAAAACAGGCAGTGTGACAGGTCAGCGTGTGGGAGGGACAATTAGGACAGCAGGGGTTAGACCTATATTTATAAAGGAAAAGGCGAGAGGGGGTTATCAGGCAGTTCATTTGGATGTGCCGTAGAGTTCGAGCCTCGAGCGCAGTGAGTGATGGATGAGGGGGAGGGTAAAGACGCTTGTCGAGCCGGAGCTGGAGATATACCTCCTTGATAGTGTGACGCAAGGAGATCTGCCCTTCGTTATTCGCGGAGCTCTCACTGTCTTCCGAAGGTGTGGGTCAGGGAATGAACGGTGCCCGGTGCAGTATATCGCGGGCAAGCTGATGAGCTAGCTCATTGCCGTTAATACCCGAATGCCCAGGAACCCAGCGGAGGAAGACAGTGGAGGGTTGAAGAGCAGAGGCCGCTCGCTCGACCTCCTGTTGAAGAGCAGGGGGCAACGTGTAGTTCTGTATGTGACGGATGGCGGAGTGAGAGTCGCAGTAAATCGTGTACTCGGGGAGAGAAGGGAGGGAGGAAAATGACTGCATGGCGTGGACCATGGAAAGAACCTCGAGCGAAAGTACATTTGGCGGGTGTAAGTATGGCCCGCTGGTGTGCTGTCAGGTGCCGAAAGGTGTGGATGGTAGATAACGTAGCCACACGAGCCCCGAGGAGCCATGTATGAGGCATCCGTCTAGGTAACTCCCTGTGTCGAGAGAGGAGGAGAATGATGCTGTGCTGCCGCATGAGGCTGGCAGGCGTGAAGAACGGGAGACATATTGGATGGGAGGGGAAGGATGCGAAGGTTAGAAGCAGCGGTGCTAGCGGCAGAAGGCAAGGTGGAAACGGGAATGTGAGGGATACCGGCTTGGGCTAATAGCCATTGGCCTTGACGAGTGAGAGAAAGACGGGCAATCTGAGAGTCGTGGTGCAGAGAATTAAGAGAACGTAATGGATGGAAAAGGCCTGTAGCGTAGGTTAGAAGAAGCTCCCTGCGTCGGCACTGCGAGGCGAGAGAGGGAAAGCGTAAGAGAAGCGATAGAGAGGGAGAGCAGACGGGCATAAGGGTGGTCACGCCGAACACCGGATTGAGCTCGACCCTAAGCTGCTTCGCGTCAGACGGTGCTTTTTTTTGTTAATTACGAAAGTATTATCCTTCTTGTCCTCGCGCTGAAATGTTGCATTACGTGATGCGTTCCTGCGGCATCGCGCATTGTACGATAACGGGGTTGCGTTGTCTTTCTCAAGTGTTATTGTATGGAACAGTCGTCCCCCACTGCATTGTACATTGTATGCAGTCGCTAATCTAGCTGTCTTCAGGCTGTGTTTGTATAACTTGTGCGATTTTTTTTTTTTACTTCCGAGACGGCTATGGAGTGAAGAGGAGTTGGAAGACTCGCGTGTCCGTCATATTGAGCAATGCGATGGTCGCGATAAGCTTTATCAGTTGCGAGAGCTCTTCGGTTTTCTGCCACAGTTAAGTGCGTTGTAAAACCACGTCCGCCTGACACGGCGTTGCAAAACACCGCTCATGTTGCGTCAGCCACGGAATACCACGGTCACCGTCTTTTGCCATCCTTTAGCTATGCAATCAGCCTTGTATAGCCCAAAGCAGCCGTCCGTGCTTTTGCAGTTAATTCGCAGTCATTCGTATCCTTACTAATTATAGTTTTTTTTTGCTTCCAGAGTACAGAGGGCAATGGCAACTCACAACAGTGAAAAAAAAAGGCAACAGAAAGCGCATTTTCGTAACATAGAATATCATTGAGGCACAAAGATTATCATTGGTAGTAATTTACGGCATAAAGCAAGTGGGAAACAAAAATATGTATACTAGGCGGTGAACAGTCAGCAAAATAAGTTCGTTATTGAACAAAAAACAAAAGTGATAGTTCGGTAACAAGCGTTTTAAGGACATTTTTAAGACTGGAGCCGGTGATACTTGCACCCAGAGAATTCTAATAATTAGAAGATCTTGGAGAATTGTTAATGGGCATAAGTGACCGAGTTGCAGTGAGTTTGGAGAGGCAGTACAGATGTGAAGAGAAATGAATGGCGCTTATTAAATCAATCGAGAATGAAGTTTAGAGTGATGATGAAAAGTTTTATGGAACAGACCATGGCGCGCCTTCGGCGAGTAGCTAAGGAGTTGGAGGTTTACAGGTGTGTCGCTTTGCGCCAGTCATTGCCACTTGCCGCGAAAAAGAACAACAGCGCGGGGCGCTCTGTCCTCTTGTGTCGGTCTGCTCGGCCGTTTCTTCTTCCCCGTAATGTGCTATACCAGTTCAAGTACGATGAACCAACTCGCCCAATCTTCAACACTCGTGGGCTCGTGATGCGCGATCCACGAAATGGTCAGATTAGAACGAGTCCTGGCGCCTGGCGGAACGGAAGGAAGCAGGCAGCAGCAGCCGCCGCCTAGCTGCTTGGGACCTTCTAGAATGAATCGGCGAAATCGGCACGGCCACGTCGGCCGCTGTCATGTCGTCTCTCTGCCCCGCTACAGGTACGCTCGTTTGTGTGAAGCACGGCGCGGCTGGACATGCACGCACGCAGCGAAGGGAACGCAATACACTTGATTACATTAAGTGTCGATCCGTGTTTGTCTGGCCGAGTTCCTTTGTACGAGATGGCCCAATTAAACCCCCCCCCCCCGGCTGTTAACGTTTGCGCATTCGGTAATCCGCAAACGGAAGGAAGTTTGCGGAGGAGCCATAGCCTGTCTATTGACATTCGTTTAACTTGGCGCGTGTGTGGGCGGGGATACGACCGTTCGTAGGACGGATTATCTTTCCCGCCACTCGTTTCTCAAAAAAGAAAACAAAAATGAGAGAAGAAAGAGCTGCTGCTGTTCGTAAGACGGAAAAGGGTGATCGGAGGCGTAGGCGCGCGCAGCGTTCTGCATTGGCCCTCTTTCGCTTTTGACGGTTGTCGAAAGAAAAGCGTACCTTGCACAAGCAGTATACGTTCTAGTGAAACGTGTTTTACTGCAGTCTCTCTGTAATTGCAGTAAATGCAGTGTGTTTACACTGACCGACTGATCGATCAAGATGGAGAGCTGCACGTATACAGCGGACAGGCCAGTCCTTTATTGTCGTCTTGTGTACGCAGAATGTTCTACCCTTGATGTGCTAGCTGCGTAGCATTATTATTCAGTATGTATTATTCAGCGTCGTAGGCAGCTGTGTATGGCTGTTGCTATATAGATCCGTGCGCTGGGTTCCCCATCAGGTGGGTGTGGGGGAGGGGACGAAGGTTCGTCGCAGCGCTCCCCCCCCCCCCCGGCCTCCCTTTTAAGTCAATGTATGGAACGTATTTCGCCCTCCTCCTATTGTAGGGGAGGGGTGGGGGGAGTGCACCCTTCTACAACTAAGTGGTTCTTAAGAGATGAAGGAAGAGAAAAGTGAGCCCCGTAACTGTCTGCTTCAGCGAGCGACACCTCAACAGTAGCTCACACGGGATGGGGTGAGGAGGAATTAAAAGGGTAGGAATAAAGGTGTAGAAAAGAGGAAGATGCGTGAGGTGGTAAGCCAGAGAGAGCGACGACAAATCGAGGGGATAGGAGAGATAGGAAAGATGGAAACACGGTCACAGGAATCCGAGGACGGGGCACCACTTGCGAGAGCTCTTGTCGGCGTCAGTAGATGGCGTAGAGCAAGTCCAGTCGGCCAGAGCTACGCTGACGTCGGAGATCGCGTGGGCACAACCGGTCGGCACGGAATCCAGCGAGCGAGTGCCCGCACCCTTTTACGCATGCCTATGGCTGTTCCAATTGCTGGTTTCTACCAGTTTGTTCACTCTTTGGCTATTGGGGGGAGTGCCAGAAACGTAAACAAAAAAAGGGGTGCAACTATTCATATAGTAACCACAGCCGGGCGTTTTCCCGGGCTGTTGAACACGTCGTCACAGTTTGACACATTGTCACGGAAAAGCAACCACGTATCCCACTTTTGGTACCATTTGCACATTTTATTGAGCTCGTGTTCGTGGGTTTTGGCCTTGATTTCGGCGCGGCTGTATATAAGCCCTTGCCGAATAATTGAAGACCGAACGTAAGAGCCGACCCAGGGACCTCCGAATGCGAACGCGTCTGGTCACGGGCGTGCCCCGCCGCGGTGTTGTACGGGCTAAGGTACTACTCGACTGCTGACCCGCTCGCTGGTCGCGGGATCGAATCCCGGCTGCGGCGGCTGCATTTTCGATGGAGGAGAAAATGCTTTAGGTCAGTGTGCTCAGATTTGGGTGCACGTTAACGAACCTCAGGTGGACGAAATTCTCGGCGTCCTCCTCTTCGGTGTCTCTTATAATCATATGGTGGTATTGGGACGTTAGACCTCACATGTCAATCAATCAATCATCTGGTCATAGGCTCAAGTGCCAGAGGCGCGTAATCAACTGCCCCCGCTGCGATTTAAAAAAGTAAACCAATAAAATTAATGGTATTACTTTTTTTTTCTTCGCAGGCTACAAAGTATCCGACACTGTTCGGAAGGGCATACTCGATGTCTCCATGTACGAAGGGGCGCCGAAGGATCTCATGCTTGGTAACCTGGCTGCCCTGGGCGGTAAGTCGCTGCTACGGAGCGTCGGGTGTCCCCTCTTGCGTTGCGACTGCAGTGCTGAAGCTTTGTTTGATGCTCGCATTCCTGTGCGACCGAGAACTTATCCGAGCAGAAGGCATGAAATGTCGCGTATCATGACTCATTCGGACTGACGGTTTTGGAGCGGTATTGTTCCCATACTTAATTATAAACTCAGAAAATGCCAATGAAAATGTCTGGTTCTAGTTGTATGACTACGCTGTACGAGCCCGCACGACTGCGAATGCCTGCGACCGGCGGCAGTTCGTTTAGCAGCCAGCTGTCTCATTTACGCTTAGTAGCTTCGCGCTGTGAAAAAGAAAAAAAAAATCTGCTGACTTTTTTTTTTATCTACCGAGAGATCCGTGCAAATTACACGCTTGTAAACTGCATTTGAATGCATTTGAATTCTAACCAGTACTTTGCGTTGTCCTAGTTATGACGAGAGTAGTGTATGGAAATACGCTTCAGTCGAGTATATAAACGAAATTGGGAGCTGCTGCATAACGAAATCGTCAGGCCGTATACTGTATATAGTATACGCCGTATTCGTATGACATTTACCGCGCTGACGCGATACTAAATGTGTGCACGTTATTGCTGGGCACGACCTGTCTGGGTATCACGCTTAAATGCGCATTACCAGCGAAAGCCAAACGCGGACAGAGAATGGGGCACACGAGACCCTATTCTATTTTCGCTGGTAATAGGTATCCAAGTCAAAAGCCACGAGCTTTACTTTCATATTTTAATGGTATTACGCGCAACCGCACGTTATTGCATGCGCGATACTTATTAAAATTAATACAGTGTATAAGTTATCATTATGTGGCTGTTCTTCATACTGCACTTCAATTTTTTATGTATTTGAATATATGTCAGTAGTGCTGATCGTAGGGCCCTTTCTATTTATCGCTGCGGAACACCTTTGTGTGAATGCTTGTCTGACATTTTGTAGTGGGCCTCGTTCATTTATTGCCATCGGCCATACCATGCTGAATGCGCCGGTTCTCGTTTATTTATTATTTGTATGTATATTGAATATTTACGTGTGTTGCCTTGCTGTGCCTGCCCCATGTGCATCACGAAGGTGGGCCAAGTAAAGAGACACACTCTCCTTCTGCCCCCTTAGTGGGAATTCCGGGAAAATGTCCAAAGAATTGAAATGGTCTTGCCGAATGCTGTAAGCGCACCGGCAGATACTTGGTGTTTAGAAAACTGCATTCGCTGTTGTTTTACTAAGTCTGTTCACGTATTGTAGCGGCATGCCCTTACGTTCAAAATGGCTGCCGCGCCGTTAGTATCCTACTCTTCTTCAAGCTCGCTGTATTAACAGTGTAACAGTGTAGCTACACGCTAATAAAACGTGTTGCGTTTGAAGCGATTGATGTCCGCGGTGGTTCACGGCCACTAAAGATGCGGGGGGAAGCGGGGTGTCACCGCTACCTTGACCGCGGCCTCGGCCGTGCGTGCTTGCAGGAAGCGCCATTTGGAACATCCTGGCGACGGCGTTCAGCCTTCCCATCTCGGGCACGCACAGCATCGTGGGCGCCGTGGTCGGCTTCTCGCTGGTGGCGCGCGGTCTGCGCGGCATCCGCTGGTGGGAGCTGGGCAAGATCGTCCTCTCCTGGTTCATCTCGCCCGTGCTGTCGGGCATCGCCTCCTCCGTCCTCTACATGCTCATCCAGTTCCTCATCCTCCGGAAGGTGCGCTCCCTACCTCCACCAGGGGGCGTCGCCGTAGTACATACTGTACTACCTCGGGCCAAATACGAAGGGGTAGACACAGTATGCAGTGCGTGTGGAAAGGAAGAAGAAACTGCCGAACACTTGATAATGTTCTGTAAAGGGCTTCACCCTATAGTTCAAGATGATGGCGCAGAGTTTTTCAAAGCACTGGGGTTTAGGGACCGGGAGGGCAAAATAAACTTTAAGCGGGTAGACTTAACCAGAAGGAGGTTATCTGATTGGTGGCTAAAGTCAAGACACGAGTGAAAATTAAACTCTTCACTGCAAAGTACGAATCCTCAAACTCACTTTTTAAGGAAAAAAAATAAATATAGTTTTTGGTTCATTAGGTATTACGGCTTGGTGGCGCTAGCCACCGCCCGATCTAAAGGGTACAGCCATATCCATACATCCATCCATCCTGTACTGTATCCGATGTGTGCATATATCGGCCTGTCTTTAACTACCTAATGGCCTGCCTTCACTTCCTCCTGTCCGCTTGCTCTTTGCCTGCGCACCCTAAATCGTGCCTGCAGCGGCAGAAAGCTTTGCTGGCGTCTTTGGTGTAACTGCGTTGTTAACATACGTATGTGCGAACAGCGACTCTGCATGGTCGCACTATATACCTCAAGAAAAAAAATCTACTACTAGCACACAGTTTTTTGGTAACATTACGTTGCGGCCCTGAAATAATTCGTTTTTTTAGCGATTTACTAAGGGTGTCACGTTCAAATAAAAAAAAAGAAAGATGGCTCCCATAAACTTATTCAATGATCCGAGCCTTTGGCAGTCGCACAGGTGCGCCGCAAAGCTTTCGTAGGCGCTTTACCCGTGGCGCAAATGGGCCGTTCTTCGTACGCTAATAACTGTTAACAAACACCCACACACGCGCTCTCCAAAGCCTCATACAAGTTGAGAATGCAGGGAGGGAGGCTCAGACGACCGAAGCGTTGTAGCTGATCGCCTCCGCGACCACCCTATCGTGCACTCGGCAGTGTTCTCCGAAGGCTGGGTGACCGGCCGACCTCCTCGTGACGTCAGGCTGCAGTGCGCACCCGTCGATGCTGGTTTGTGTGCGTGTGCCTGCGAGGAGGAAATGCCGCGGACTTCTAACGTTGCATGCTACCTCTTGCTCCGGCATCGGGAAGATCAGTGTTATTTCTTATTTTTTTTTTAGTTTCGCAGCTGCCTACTTATGTTTACGTATCTATCGGATATACGTAAAGGAGACCGATAAGTATACTGCTTTGCAAGGCAAGGCTCCTACAACCTTTGAACGCGTACGTTTTTTTTTTTTTCCTCGTTTTCACGTTTACGATACGGGTTATCTGTGCGAGCGCGCGTTGCACATGTACTCTGCCCTCTCCACCCATCTCTCTCTGTCTCTTCTAGCCTCGTGCTCTGCATGCTCTCGAAGGAGTTGATAACCGTTGTCCACTCAAGAGCTTCGCATATTGCAACGAAGATAGGGCGCGACTGCGAGTATTGTAGTTTCGACAGCTAGACGTGCCCGAAAAAAGAAGTGTAGATAGCTCGTGAAGCACGTGCAGAATCGTCAATTCGGGGCTATCGCTGGCGTGCCGCCTATAGCCATGTGTCGCTGACCCTCGGCTTCCGCGATCGGAGAGAACACGTCTGTGCGCGCAAGAGATGGAGGGGAAAACAAATGTTTGGTTGTCGAACGACGCCGCGGAACGGAACAAACACTACCCTGGCGTCTCCTCTCCTATTCCTCTTTCTGCGGTACGTTCCCCGTGGCGTCCGAGATCGCAATCGGCTGCAGCAGCGCCCTGGGCCCTCGCCACGAAGTGTACGTGCCTATGGCGCCTCTTTGGCTGCGGCATCTCGTGATTGCAGGTTTTTTGCCAGCGCCTCCGGCCAAGCGCTGCTATAAACAGAAGGCTACAAGATCATCACCGTCCTAGAGGTCCACACGAACGCGCTATGGGAGATTGTCTGTTCATATCTGCTGTCAATCAGCTGTCTGTCAGTCGGCGACCCTCTACGTGAGGTCGTAGAAACAGTAACGCGGCATTTGTTGTGCCACATTTAAGACTAATAAGCCTGCACTTCATAAGCATTAGCAGAGTTCAGCATTAAAATACAGCTGTCATTGCTGGACTTTTCTTCTTGCACTCTCTGCTCCTCCCCCCTCCTTCTCATATCCTTGGCCTCATGTCACGCTAGAGAAGTAATACAGCTGCTTACTTGCACGAACTGCAGCTGTAATTCTGTGCATGGCAACGGCTGTGGGGTGCTTCCAGATCCTGCTTGCAAAGTAATCTACAGAACTGAATTTTGTGCCCCCACCCTCTTTTTTTTTTTCCTGTGCTTGTTCCACTAATGCACTTAAATTAATGGTCTTGTCAATCGTAGTGACATGCTGGGCGCATGCTACCACAATGATGCACTAATCGATTGTTTCTCGTGTTGCATTTTTCTTCTAAGCAAAAGCTTTGCCTTACTGTGCTTTATCATTATACCACATGCTATATAGCAACAAATTCACTCGTAAGCACTTCAATCTTACGTCTTCAAAGCTCTTTTTTTGTATTGCACTCAAAACAGGCACATAGCCAGAGGATGGCACACCAAGTCCGTGCCACCGCCCCCCCTTCCGGATATTTTTTTTTTCGCCATGACATAGAGAGCAAAAAATGACCATTTCAAGGGGATGCCCTTCCCAAAATCAGGGAAGTGCCCCCCCCCCCCTTCAGAAAAAAATTTCTGGCTATGCTCCTTTCTCAAAAGGCAGGCGAGAGGGTTCAGAGCCAGTGATGTCATCTGTTGTTCACCTTCCAATATAATTACCTGCGTAAAATGGTGCACAAAAGCAGGAATTTTTTAGGGCCTTCAAGAGTAGTCTGGCATGAGCTGGCATAACTGGGACGCTTTTTGTGAGTGATATTTTCTTTTCCTAAGATATATGTGGTGAAATGGCAAAATGAACATTCATTTTTATGAATGTCTTTCTTTACCATGCTCCTGTGTTGCACTTTTCTTGTAGGAGAAGCCACTCGAGCCTGGTCTGAGATCGCTGCCATTTTTCTACGGCTTCACTCTCTTCATCAATGTGTTCTCCGTCGTGCACGACGGGCCGCACAGTAAGTTTCAAGCTCCAGCCTTAAAAATGGGAAGTCGTCTAGTGAGGTAACAAATGATATATCAGCTAAAAAAGAGGCATTCTGAATATAAGGCAAGTAGTTTTTGTAGGAAGCCTAGTGCACTATTCTACAAGATAAGCTTGCATCAAGTGAACGTTGTCATTGTGAGCCAACTTGTAGACATGGCACAGGGATGTCAGAAAGCTAGCTTGTGAAAGTTTGATTGCTTTGATGTGTTACTCTAATGTTAAATGTGTCCTAATTTTGATAGACAAGAAGTCTTGTAAAACTTGTGCACCAAATCAAACATTATTTCTACAAGAAATATATATATAATTTTATATACTTTCATAAATATTACTGCAGTCAATAGTCGTACATCATTGCTAGTAGCACTGGCAAGGCAATCTTTTTCATGCAATAAAGGGTTGACTTGTTAAACAAGAATCGAAGAGCAATGTTGTGCAGCCAAAGCTCTGCACCTTCAAAATTCAAAGCCGCCCGCTGTTCGTGACAAAAATACGATTCTCTGGCCGGAGGAATCAATTCAGAGTGCAATGTTGTGTACATTAATTTCTGTCGCTGTCAATTCTACAGAAATAATGGCGTCATCTGAGAACAATGCTCTGTTTGTGTGAAGGCATTTATAAAGTCATTATTTATATCGTCAAGTCAATGCGTTATGTTGAGTCATTTCCTTGAACAGAGAGAATGCTAAAGGGTCAGCTTTTACATAGAAGCCGCAATTGCACCAGAATAATATAACATAATGTCATTAAGCGTAATTTGTTGAATTTTGATAAGCAGTGCTCTTCTTTTTAATATAAAACTTCTGTTAAGCAGTTGACATGTTTTCCATTCAACATTTACGTTGATGTCTTTTTTTCAGTGTTGAGGTTCGACCTTATTCCCTGGTGGGGTGCCATGATCATTGCTGGCAGTATCGCTCTGATCTCCATAATTGTTGTCTGGTTCTTCATCGTTCCTCGTCTTAGGGCCACCATTGAGAGTGAGTAATAGTGCACAAGTAGCATTCGGCATGTTGAAGCTGTATTATTGAAGCTTATAACATTTTTCGCGGGTATACGCCAAGGGCTTCCCGCAAGTGAGGCAGCACTCGATTCTGTATTAGCATTTTTTCGGAAGCTTCAGTCATTCTTGCGTGCAGCACCATACCTTGCTGCATTCCTATCTGTAAATTGCATAGCCTGAAGAAAATTTTTGGCTAGAAGTTGAGGCGATGGGCCTTTTAAAGTTCAGTACCTAATGTGTTAACTTTGCACGTGCCTTATACTGGGATAAACAAAGTGCAGTATTTAATGCGCTTATTTCAGTGATTTTGCTAACATAGTTTATTGTGTAAATGAAATCAAGTTTGTAAACTCTTTCATTATAATTCATTGTAAGGATTTCCTCTGCTTAGTTTTTCGTAAACTCAATGATAAAGTGTAAGCGAGCACAAACTAGGACAAGCATCGTTAAATAGTATGATATGTAAAAGCTTGTCAACGTCGCCACAGGCCTTGAAGGCTTTAGTATCGCTTCGGACAACTGTTTTATACGTTTCAGTACATGGCAAACTTTGTCGTAATAATGGCTTTGTTAAATAAGAAATACCCGTTTGCAATGTATACTGAGACTGGCAAACTTAGTGGTGGGCTTTGGTAGTGTGTATCATTTTATTGCAGTACTTTCACATGTGCAGCCAGAACGAAAACGGAAGAAATTGGAAATGCAGATTACACCTATATTTTGCTTTGGAGTGCTGTTTCAGCAATGGACACGTAGTCCTTGTGAAGTTGCACTCGAAGGCAGCGTTTGTATCGCTGTTAAAATGGAGCGTCGTGGGCACGACATTGCCGTGTAGATGTGTGCCACATTGCAGTAATATGGCACTTCTCCTCAGCAATAACGTGTCCAAAACGGTGGTGACCCGAGGTTTTAGGTTTTTGTACCTAACCCTAAGGGTAGTGATAGTGCCCTTGTTCCCTCCTCAGTTTTTGAGTGTTGCCGTTTTTTGATGGTGTGGACAGAGTGGAGTGGTCTCTAGGCACACATTGTGATAGTACTGCTCGCAGGCCTCTTTGACATAGATAGGTGTACTTACCCACTCGCAGTCTATTTTTTTTTCCTTCCTCAATTAACTGTAGGCATGGCACGTAAGTGACTCAAACTCGTTTTAATTCTGCATTTTTATTGTGCATGCACCAACATTTTGCTGACCTTGCTTTTCTAATGGCTGCGCACGCCTATTTGCATGTGTTCCTTTTTTTAGGGGACCTTTCCAGCGATGCTGATAACGACCGAATAACCATGACTGGTTAGTGAATATTTTCGTTGACCGTTTTTTTTTTTTTCAGTGCTGTAAAACATCTAGTTTTTTTTTGTTGCTTTCTGTTCATTCATAATTGACAGCATTGTCAACAGCATCATCTCGATCTACTGGCAAGTATGAGTGCTTTTGCTTTGTCATGTAAGGAAAGTTTTTCTGTTTTGTAACTAATATCGATTGCGGTGCACATTTTATGATTGAAGAAGGCATGCTTACTTTGAATACCCTTTCACGACTGCATGTGGGGAACTAATGCAACTAGGTTCTAATGATTTAAACACATAACAATCAAAAGTATATCCAGTTTCGTATACAATCCATGCAAGTCATGTATAGGCATTTGTCAATGTGGGGCTGTGTCTCTAAATCTTTTTTTTTTAGTGCAGAGTGTGCAACGGATTGCCTTGCACAGCGCTGGAGACATTCATTATCCAGCTTAAAGGGCCACTGACCAGGCCCCATGACAGATTTTAGTTAGACTATGGAAGTTGTTGTGTGTCCAATGAGGAGCATTGTGCCACAAAACTTTTTTCAATCGGTTCATTATGAGCTGAGAAAAAAAAAATTTTATATGGCGCACAACGAGGATTATAGAAGGCAAGCTTGAAACCCTTGCTGCTCCCCGGCGTAGCCTTCGCAAGCCAAATCTCTTCCCTACCCTCTCCGGCATCCGACCTAGAAGTCACATGCGCATGACGTGCCTGAACAAGCCCAATCATCGAGCACGCGAGCGGCGTTGTTTTGTTGACTAGCGTTGTTTTGTGGTCCACTGCCTGTTTCTGCGGGATGGTTTGGAAACGCTGGCTTAGACACGGTAGAATAAATCAGCACAATAAATGTGCAAAAGTGTAGGAGTGTTATTTTCGCTTTCACAGCTGTCATCTGTTCGATGCGCTGAGCACGGGTAAATGAACGCATGCAAAACGCCGGCACATTAGTCCCTAGTCCCACATCTCATTGCAATTCACGAAAGAAAACGGAAAAAAGATGTGCACATTCCGCTAGTGCGTCTCATTATTTATCTCAAGCTTCAAGCAACAAAGTACATGAACTACGCATGTTGTGTTAAATAATTTTTGCCATGTCAAGTGCCACTGTTAGCAACGTAAGAGCGCAGTCGTCTATGTAACACACCAACATCACTGCACTGCCGTGTACATAGGGCAATTCATGCGTGCACGTCATGCTCTCATTCTCTGGGCGCACGCCCGCAAAAAGAAAGGGGAGCGGCGTTCATTTTGAAATTTGACCCATTTCTGTGGCATGTTGCATTGCAAATTTAGGCAGATGGGATTGTGAATGTCCTATCTATGCATTGCGCTTGAAGCTCGATATTGTCAAACCTGGTGATTGGCCCTTTAATGTCTCATTGTTTGACAAAGGAACCTTGCTACGTTAGTTTTAGTTGACACGGTTAATACAGTCCAACGCAGGTAAGGTCAGCTTTCGGCAGCGTTTTACTATGTGATTGTAAACTCTAACTTTGTTACATTCTCTTCCGCCCAGCAGAAAGTGGAACATGGTACCATACAACATCTGTTTAAGGTCATTTGATTCATCCCAGCTTATGGCTCGCCACGGCATTATAGAAATTTGAAGATACGTTATTTAAAATTGGCTTAGTAAAAGGTCTATAATTTAAAAGTTGATTGAAGTATATGTGTCTACACCATAGTTTCATATAATAATACCTAAAAAGGAATCTGGCACTGCGATCGTGTACCCTCAAGGGAATTGGTGAAAGTACAGGCTTCGGATTGAATCGCGTTAGCCAGTGAACTGTCTACGGATATTTTTCTGCAGTTTCAGTTCCGTTCTTTGTGTAGAGTGGGTCTTGGGCTGAGTGCAAAGGACTTAAGCTGTGCCTTTGTTGTTCAAAGAAGCTAAAAACTGCTAGGCCTCTCAATTTACTGCAACGCTGGAGCTGTACAAGTCGTGTTTGACAGTTTAAGCGAAGCGTCGTCCACTCACCGCTGCGCGTAGACGTAGCATCCCATGCCAGTACAGAATATTACACAGAGATCACGTTTGTTGTTAGTGCGTTTTGCCAAAAGTCGTTGAAATCAATTGCAAAACGACGGCGTTGCGAAGTAGACTCACCGCCATGCTCTTCTGACTCGACTTCACAACAAAACGAGAGGTGCGTTGGGGGAAGACGACTTGAACAAATGCACTTGGCATCGCAGCTGACAAAATCTTAAGTGTTCCTCACTTAATACTGTACTGTTATTTCCATAAATGGACATTGCGTACTTTTGAGGGCAAACCAAGAATGTTTGTTTTCAAATGTTGGAAGGAATATTTCATTACATCTTGATGCCAAAACTGGAACGCAATGGCAAAGCAATGCATACTCTGGTGGTTAAATTTGTCGAGGTTTCTCTTCTACTGTCTAGTCACAAGAACCGTTTGCAATAAAGCTTGTGTACAAAAAAATGAAGTTTTACTTTGATATAACTTCATATTACTTTGGTTCACACTCCGAAAAGAAGCGTCGCGAATCTCAAGAACGTGATCCATCCGAAGCAGACCCGAAACATGTACTTCTCATCATTCCCATGCGAGTACAAGCACCGCTGAAGGAGCCCGCATAGACACTAGCGCCAGATTCCACTCTAGGTATTATTGTATGAAACTCTATGGTCTACGCCATGCTTCTATTTTGTGCAGTCTTCCTCGCTTACTTCTTCGTTCGTTGTTTGTGAAAAGAACGGAAAGCTTGCTGTGTGTCGTGCAAATTGTGCTCCCGTCTCGCACTTTCCTGTGTCAACTCGGCGACGTGTCTCCAGGATCGCAATTTGCACGACTACAATGCAAGCTTCGCCTGTTCTCTTGCAGAGAGTACACCTCTGCTAGCTGACGTTCAGAAACGTGATGGCCAGGGAGGTGAGCCTTATATAAAAACAGTGTGATATGCCAACAATACATTTAGGTTTCGAGAAATTGGTCTACTATATGACGATACTCATAAGATGTGGCAGCCTTTGCACTGTTTCTCTTGAAACTTGGTATGATGGCAGAGGGACATGCTTACATGTGCATCAAAGACAGCTTGATGTTGTAACTGTATCCAATTTTGGCTGCGCATAACTCTATTCCCATTATGACTTCTTCATTATCATAAGAACCAAACCCTCTCCCATGCACTATTTTCCAATATAATTATGGGGCTGTCAGTGTTTCACAGCCAGTATCGAAAAGTCATCATCCACATGTGCAGCATGTGCTATGGCAGAATTTTCGAACCAGCTATTTGAGCTACAGCGATTGCACACTCCACGGAATGTGCAGATGCCGTTAACAGCATGTGGTGATGAATTATTCGTCCAGTGGTGTAAATAGAAAATTACTGAAGCGCTGCTTGTCCTTAGTCTAACAGCAACGAAATCATTCTGTAGGGAGCTAGTGAAAGGACTTCCTGAACTGCTTTGCTTACATAAGCTAGTCACAAGCAGTAGCATAGCCTGAAATTTTTTCCCAGGAGATAGGAGCAGGCAAGGGTGGTTCAGTTATACGTATAGTTGCCAGTGGTCACAGTATCTGCCTTAGATTTTTTTTTTTTTTCAGTCTATAGTGCTTTAAACGTTTTGGAAATCACATTGTATAATAGGCTGAAGTAAATTATGTATCATATCTACATATGGAAGTATAAGGTGTGTCAGAAGAAGGAAGCATGGGAGGGGCGGTTAAGTTTCTCAGTATACTAGTGACATACATCTCCAACTTATCAGTAACAAATCTCAGTATTGTAGAAGACAGAGCTGAAAGTACTTTAAAAGGAAGACAGTAGCTTACTACAGTTGTACGTAGCTTTAGTAAAGCTTGTTTCAGTATTGCGAACTCTCTAAATATAACGTTTAGTTTTACTCTAATGTAAATCGATAAGGCACCCACTCGTCGGGCTGTAAATCATGGAACCTACACGAGTTGGAGAATTTGTGCTGCTGCTTCAAGAGCGACGTCTTGAAATGTGTTCAGTTGTCCCTGCGCAACTTTTACATCATAGAATCTTGGTTATTGTCAGTCTGGTCTTCTGGTGCATATTGCAACAGGGGGAAAGAACTTTCTACTTTCATTCCTATCGATTCATGCAGAATTGGCCCAGGCCACCAAGGATTTACCCAAGACATTGACGTATTCATTTTCCCCGACCGACCCTGTGAGCGATGATGTCATTGACACCGATGGCAACAAGAAGGTAAGTTCATTGAGAAACTATTATCGTCACTCTTGCACCATGAAACACCATACATCATTAAACTATTCTCATCACCTGCAAATGCTTATGTCATGTTTTACTCTTCAATATAAAATTGATTGCTCTTGTCTCGATGACTCAGTGTTGAAAAAAACTGCAGTGCCCTTATCAAATTACTTAAGTTTCTTTCGCTCTGCTCATAATCAAAGTAAATACCGCTGCCAAAATATGTAGTCGCAGCAAGAACTCAAGTACACGCACATGGTAGCCACATAAAACGACTTGAGTTCAGGAGCAGAATGGTTAATAAAGATTAGCCTTTACTAGAAAATTTCGAATATTAAGTCAAATGATTTCCTGCTTGGTTCAGCCTTTGATTTGAAGAATTGCTATTAGGCTTGTGCAAACAGTGAACTCTAGGTTCGAAGTGGATTCGAAGCAAATAATAATTTTGGTCGAATAATTTCAAATTGAATTGGAATATATACATATCATATTATCAAAAAATGAGCACGTTTGTCATAACCTAATTCACCTGCACCATATTTTTTGAATATTTAAACAAGGCCTGTGCAAATGCCTCTTTTTTTTTTTTCGAAGTAAATAGAAACAACTTTCAATGATAGCAGGATTTGACTTTCAGTAGAATGCTAGTGGTAACTTGTAAAATGATATAGGTTTCAAAATTATTTCACTTGGGGAATATAAGCCAGTATAGCAAACTCTTTGACTTCAAAAATTAATCGATGTGAAGTGAATATGTTCATTTAATCTTAAAGTGGGGCTTTGCGGCAATTAAAATTTTTCCTGGATAGGTGTCTTTACTGCGTAAAATTTCTTTGTTGCAGTGAAATGATTTTCAGATAGGTTACATATGAACTAATATATAGCAGATAGATGTTTTCACGACTTAGCACTTTTTTTACGGCAGTGAAACCACATTTACAGGAGGTTAAATGCAGACTTACACCTATTCGTTTATTTCGAAATGTAGTTCAAAATTTTTAATATTTTAAATTTGAATTGAAACAAATTCGAATACTCTAATATTCATGTGAATATTCGAGGCATGCGAATATTTGTACAAGCCTAGTTGCTATATATGCGTAAATGCCGATACTTTTCAGATATAAGAGAGTTTGAGAATTGGGACACGAAGAAGCTTGGGGGCCCAAAAAAATTTGCAAGCAGCTAGGGCACATGCACAGAATCAAGGCGCTGATAGGCTTAAGCGCTTGCATTGTCCCAAAACCCAAAAATTCAAAATTAGCGAGGGTCCCCAAGGAGGCTTGCGTCATGAGCGAGATGTCACAGATGCAACACTTATCGTAATGCAGTATGGCCCACCTCTCTCATAGTATTAACTTCCTCACGTGTGGTGTTCCGTGATTTTGACCTAACGCAGTCTGCGTTTGACCCAATTCTTAAACTCTGCTGATCCTCTGAATGCAAGACCAACCTACGCGATGCAGCTTAGAGATACGTGTCTTGGGCCCCCAATTCTTAAGCTGTCAATAGTTTAGGAATATTTCAACATTTTTACTGCACCATAATAAGCACAACATTCGTGTAAAGTAAGATGAATTCCATCTCTAAAGGCATAGTACTATATAAGCTTATGACTTGACTGCTTAGATAGATTAGCAGGTTATGTTGCTTGAAGACCTAGACTGTCCTGTATACAAAACAATCATTCACACTCTCTGAAGAATCATTTGTAGCTTCATGCACGTGAAGAAGCCGCTTCATTCTTCATAAAGTGCCATATGCAGTTTTAACTTTAAAATTATATCTATAGACCTGAACAGAATTTGGTATTAGTATTTTCATGTCCCTTATAAGTCTGAAAACTTTTCTATAAATTAATCAGATTCAATTTTGTCATTTCTGGCATAAATTTATTCAGGTCAAATTTAATCTCGGAAATCACAACTAGGGTCATGGTTTTTTTTTTACACTATAGCCTGGCACCATGATGTACAGTTTTTCAAACAGGCACTGTGCCGTCATGGTAATGATGTCATTATGTGCATCTGAAATGCTTGCATAGGCTTACCTTGAGCAAGGCTTGGCCTAAGACATGGATATATTTGCGCACATGAACCTTTCTTCAACAAAACTTTCAGAAAGGGATCTCATTGACTGTTATTATGTTTTGCAGCTAAGATTTACTTGCTCCTTGTGCATAATCATGCTTTAAAGAGAAAAAATGGACGACAAATCATTGCCAAGAAAGCACAAACCTTGTCATTTATCTGCCCACTTTAGCGTCAGCTTGATATCTTATTATAGACTTTCAATAAGGATTCCAATTCGTATCCAACATGTCGCATGATTCCTATGCATACGAAAACTTCTAGCAGCAGATTTTTATGGCCGCTGCATTTTCGATGGCGGCGAAAATGCTCGAGGCCTGTGTACTCAGTTTTAGGTGCACATTAAAGAACCCGAGGTAGTCGAAATTTCCAGAGCCCTCCACTATGGCACGTCTTGTAAGCATATGGTAGTTTGGGGATGTTAAACGCTATCAATTATTATTATTCGCACCATATTCTTCTCTAGTTTTTTGCGAAAAAACTATTCTTTGCGGTAACCTTACTAAACTGGGTCATGAGGTAGCATAGTGGAGGAATGGCTTATATACCCATTAAATGTTTTGCGTATCAATATGTGTGAACACTCTTAAACGAACAGCAGCCTTGCTCGATTGTTATGTTTCATGTCAACGCATCTTGTACTAGTTTTCACAAAATGGTGATGTGAACCGATATCTCATGGTTGTGCATATTTTTTTTTCACTCTTTCCTTCAGTTGAGTGAAGCTGGCATAATGAATGGTGGCCACAAGACCAGCATTGAAGTTATTTCGGGCAAGCTCCAGCACAGTGAGTTTACAACACTTTACAACTCTATGCTATGCAAGTACGAGACGGCGCAGCAACTTGCCTTCGAAACAGTTAGCTTGTAGCTCTTGTGTCTTTTTGTAAAAGAACCAGCCATGGTGGCTCTGCAGCTGTCTTCTGCTACTGTGTTTTTTTCTGGGGTCACTGGTTGAATTCTCAGCTGCCGTTGATGGGCTAACTTTCAGCGGGGTGAAAACAAGCACAGTTGCTTACCTAAATTTAGGTGCACATCAATAACGCCCTGCAGAGCTTCTAGGAAAGCTTTGTATATATGCGCCAGTCTGCACCAGTCGCTGCATGATCACGATGCAGTGATTTTGTGGAGGTCGTGGGTCAAGTAAATCAGTGGGTGGTGCTTTCACTCTGCTGAAATTTCACCTTAGCACTTCGTTCGCCCCCGATCCTTTTTCGAGCATCAGAGAGCTGGCCCAGTGGTAAACCTGTTCAGAAACCTGTGCCCATAGTAAGGAACTCCTGTTATTGTAACCACCTTCCCAGGCCTATGTACAGTTGTGACATTCCTTTTTGTTCTTTTTTTCATGCTTGTGAATTTTCTTGTAAACGGTATTACGATACTTTGATTCTTAATCCAGTGCATGGTTAGTCCATGCATTACAATAACCTGCCGTGGTAGATTAGCAGGCTGAGGTGTTGCACTGCTAACCTCAGAGGTGCGGTTTCGATTCCCGGCTATAGCGATCGTGCTTCATAGACTGCAAATTTCGAAGAACACCGCTGTGCTTAGAGTAAGGTGCATATTAACGAACGATGAGTGTAAAGATTGATCCAGAGCCTCCACTGTGCTGTGTGTGCCTCATTATCACGTCATTCTTTTAGTATGTTGAACCCGAAATTATGTGCATTACAGCAACATATAGTACACTTCATATGCCTTGTTTTCACTATTTCTCTCTATGCTTATTCTGTAGTTGCAAAGCCGATATGGTGCTGTGTATTAGCCGTGTAACATGGCCATCCCATCCATTTGCATACTCTATGAATAGGAGAAATTTTTTTATGCTACCAAGCATTAGTACTGTTAGAGGAGCTCTTAATGCAACTAACTCAAGTGAACAGTTGTTGGCAAGTGTCTAAAATTTCATTTCCACTAAGTGGGGAACACTAAAGTCTTGATAATGTTAATTACATTTAAGGAAGTGTAAAATAAGTGCATTATCAAACTGGCAAGCTGGTCCAGTTGTCGCAGTCTTGAAAGTAACAGCAATGTTCATGCTATCTCTGTAGACGATCTTCCGAACCTGCACCCAAACCCTCACCCGGTCCATCCCTCCCACAAGAGGCTTTCACTGGTCATGATCGAGGAAGCAGCTCTGGTAAGCTTCAAGTAATCAAAATAATTCTTTAAGGGTGGAGCGATATGCAGTATTTGCATTGTGAGCTCACTATTCTTGCATGATGAGAAATAAAAACAGTATTTTTTTGTTTAGTATGTATTTCATAACTTCTTGAATGTTGGGCAGGGTGTCGTAGAGAAGTTTATGTGCTAGTGCTGCAGTTTCTGTGTTCAAACAACTTTGGGGAAGAGAATGCATTATGTGTTATCAGTGTGCAGTTCATTGTTATTTTTGTACACACATTGAGACACTCTGATAAAGTTCGGGAAAGGAAACAGTAGCCGACTTCTCATGCAGTAATATCATATATAACTGTTTCTGCAGCTTCGGACATTTGTGCCTAATCTCCCGAGTTCTAGGAAGTACTTAAAGCTCACCTTATTTGTAATTCTCCGATTTGCAGCACTAAGAACATGCGACATTAATTCAGTAGAACCCTGTTTGACTGTAGTACTAACATTGTTGTAGTATCATCTCACATGCAGTAATCTCTGGGTCAATTCTCGCCTTTGCTGTTGCAGAGGGGAAAGTTCTACTCATCATGGCCAGACTCGAAAAGTGCGCTGGCATTAAATCTGTGGCTTACGAAATGTTTCCGCCCCTCACCGCAACACCACGTTATCACTGCGACCCTGCCATTGCATTCACGATTTCAGTCTGAGAAAAAGTAAACGCAAGTGTCCTTTTCCGCAAGCAGGAACGCTTTCCTATTTACGGCAGGGTCGCTGTGCCCCACGGGGTTAGCAGTGGCACTAGCAGTGGCACTAGCAGTGGCACTAGCAGTGGTGAGACGGTACCATAGCATTCAACTCGATAGCGATGACCATAAGACTGAACACTCTCACGTCTTGTCAGTATGGCCATGGATTCACACTGTACTTTTTCTGCCATTATGTCCCAAGTTGTTTTTTTTTTTTTTTTACTGGTGTGGTGTGTTCAGTTTATTTATGCCATTGCCGTCTTCATTTTCGAAGCTTACATTCAATTGTAACTTGTTAATCAAAACACAGACATAGATATGTGCTGTATATATGTCTCCCATCAGTAGAATCATTTCCCGTTTGTTTACTCCAGCAGGGTTTTTCTAAAAGTTTCAGAGCTTTCGTGCTATATGCGATTCCTTTTGCCACTTGTTAAACTTGTTATGTGTGTAAACTGCGGCCTCTGAGAGTGTTTACACGCTGCCAAGCTCAGTCAGCAACCTGCATGTGACCGCTAGTCATGAGGGAGCTTTGGAAATAGCTTACCCAACTGCTTGCATTTTGTCAGGGTTGCTGTTGTGTTTAGCATTCCCTACAATTGTTTCCTTAAACTCCACTTGTGCAAAACTTAGTATATTGTCTGCCTCCTCATGACAAGCGCCATTTAGCTGACCAGAGGACAACAGTCTCGCAGGTTGGGCTACACAATACCATTCTTTGTCATTTGGCACCACAGTAAATTGTTCATGCCCCGTGGCATTATTCCTGTAGTAGGTGCCAGGGCACCATTAGAGGTCCCCTCCTCCACATTCTCGCTGTTCTCTTCATGTGAGCTCTAACTCACTGTCGTGTTTACAGATGACAGAATGTTTGGATGATCCGCCAAACGAATGCACTCGGCACTGTTCAGAGATGCAGAGAAGTGATATGACAAAGCAGAAAAGCCTTGGAAAGCAGCATCGTAATCCACTGCAGCTTTTACAGTCAGTGTGTGCCAGAGCACTGAGGTCCACCAGGGTTGGTGGTTTGACTTGGCTTGGCTTTGTTTTGCCTAGCTTGTCTTGGCTTTGGCTTGGCTGAATTTGGATGTTCTTTCTAAAACTGTTGCGTTCTTCTCATGGGAGCATACAGAAAGTGCCCTGAAAGAAAAGGACTTCTCTCTGCATTTGCGCATGTTTGCAACTTCATGCAAGTTCTGTATCACTTATGCCACATCGAAATGATAGACGGGCGTACTTTTTAGCTGCCTCACCTAAATAATATCCAAATGAAGACAAGCTAAGGAAAATGCCACGTATGTCTCAGTAAAAGAAATTGGGGTGAGTGTATTCATGGTACGACTGAGTGTTAAACCCACTTCAGCTTCAATATTCAATATGTAGAAAAGAAAAATGTCATCTAGTTCATTTTATGGTGTTCGTGTTTTGTGTATTGATAGCACATGCATTGCTTCACTCTGTGGCACTGTCTGCTGGCGCTTGAAATTTTACTCCTGTATTCTGAGCGAGCCCTGCTAGTGAGTTCACTGGTTGGCTTGGAACAGCAGTCGATGTCCACTGCAGTGAAGCAAATTGGTCCGAAGCTACTGTAGAATCTTGGTGAATGAAAATTGCCGAAGCAGAATTGGTGGAAGAATCCGCTCTAATTTCATAAGCTTTGTATTTATGGATCGTGCCCTATACATTTTCTCAGTGAATGGAAATGAAAAATGTCTTACCACTTCTGTCAGGCTTTGTTTGGAAAGTTTCCGCTGTACTACTTATAATGGCCGTAAAAAACCTGCTCCAGACCGGTCAACGGCGGTATGCAGGCTTATCTCTTGTAACTCTCGTACTTTTTCTTCTTTCGTGCCAGGCCGTGCCTCCTATAAAAGAGAACCACGATGACGACAAGCCAGAGACAGCGAAGCTCTTCTCATTCCTTCAGGTTCTGACTGCTGTATTTGGATCCTTCGCCCATGGCGGCAATGATGTCAGGTGACTGTCCCGTTCTCTTTGTTTCTCTCTAAACTTGTAAGGAAAGTGTGGCTGCCTTCGTAAACTCGTGAGTCAAGAAATTTTATTGTGGCTTTTCAACTTACTTGCTGTGGACTGATGTGTGTGATGTACCGTGCTGCCTAGGCATCGTATGTGGAGGAGGGTGTGCTCAACATGCTCCCCCCACTTTTTTTTTTCCTCTAAGCTGCATGCCGTAGCAGTAAGGGTATGCAAAGTAATTCACAATGTCAATTACTGCACGAGGAGTGTGAAATGTGAACTAAAAGGAATTAAATGTAAAATAAATGTGTATTACAGTTAATTTAATGTAAATCAAGTGTGAACTAATGGTGAATCAAATAGCAGAGTGAATTTATTGGAATCAAACCTAAACTTACTGTGATTCTAAGGTTAAATACAGCACACATGAATTAAAAGGCAAATCAAATGTCAAATAACGCCTCAGTGACCAAGTCTCGGCAAGTCAAAACTGAATCGATGTCTAGGCAACCAAAAACTTGAGTATTCTCAGAACGTCAAACTACATGAGTATGCCTTTAGAGCTCTGGCTCTTGCTTTTGCTCTCCTTAGTGTTAGTTAAAGAGCCTGTAAACTTTTTTTTTTTTCCTTACTTGGACTACGCATAATAAAATGCTTGCTCTAGTGCCTGCTGATTGGCGTGGCGTATTTCTGCACAAGTTTTACGTTTAAAGTCTGAGTCCTATTTGCATGATTCTGCAACTCCAGCACCTTGAGTCTCATCTTCTTTGAGCATGCATAATTTTGACTATACATACTGGCTGTGGTGTGTTCACAGCATAGAGGCTGCAGAGCGACCAGTGATTAGTATAGTATTGTTACGTTTGTTTACTACTTCCTGTGTTTTTAGACATTCCTGTTTTTTTTTTTTTTTTTGTCTGATGCTCAACAGCAATGCCATTGGTCCCCTGATTGCACTGTGGATGATTTACTTTGATGGCAATGTGTACCAGAACTCGGAGACTCCCATCTACATCCTTCTATATGGAGGAGTGGGAATCAGCCTGGGACTGTGGATTTGGGGTCGGCGTGTTATACAAACCTTGGGCGAAGACCTAACCAAAGTGACACCTTCCAAGTAAGATTGCCTTGATCAAGTTTCTAATGTATAGTAGACTCGCGATAATTCAAACTCTGATAATTCATAGTTTGAAATACTCTCAATATACTCTCAATGTATTTGAGTCTTTTAATTCAAACTCCATCATTTGGCCAATTCATACTTTTTGCAGGTCCATACCAGAAAATATCAGCTGTTTTTTCACTGCTATATAAAAATGTTTTTGCTTATATAATCCTAACACTCTAAATATTAAAAATAAGCACATGAGGTCTTCAATGAAGAATGCTTTGCAAGTAAACAAATTTTTGAAACGAAGCACATGCACGGTAAACCATGACGACAGTTGGAAATTCACGATTTCTTTAAAAGGTCTCATCAGCAATAAGTGGCCAATAAACTTGTGGACTTTACACCTCTGCTTTCTGTCTATTGTGTGCAGTTAGACCTTAAAAACTCTTAAAAATTTGTTTGATGTGATCAAATCAATGCCTAATCATAATGTGTGGTGTCGCCTTGTAGTGCGCCGTCCGCACCGCTTCTCAAACATTCGACAGCTGACGCGCGCGCACGCGCCGTCGCGCCGCCCCAGAGTCATTTATCTGAAAACTTCTGATAATTCAAACTTCTTGATAATTTAAACGAAATTCAGAGGTCCCTTCAAATTTGGATTAATGAGCGCTGACTGTATATATCAATATATGCTGAAGTTCTGAGGTAAGGAGCATTGATATATGATACAGCTGAGTACAGTATATCTAAAGTATAGTGAACTAGAATAGGATCTAGTGGCAAGACCAGCTGAGCTCCAGCGTCGGCTTTCACGTGGATGCCTCCAGGTGGCCCTTCTGCTAATTTTTACGCCAGATTCGGCTGCCTTGGCGGGCCGTCGCAGAATCCTGCACAGCTGCGGATGTGGTTACTCCCAACGCACGTTTGTGTTCTGCTTCATGCAAACGTAAAATTACGAGGTTGTTTACTGCGTGGACAACCTGGCAAAACATTGGCACAACATCAGGAACCAGTGACGGTTTTCCTCGGGGAATGCGCACTTCAGTGCCGTTTATCACGTACACATATTCGCGCAGAATGTATCTTGGCTCGAAATGTTCGCACTCCGCTAAAGCTTCAATCAGAGGCTTGTCAGCCCTTTGGAGGTTGCGCTCCCACCTTCTGTGGAGATCGTCATCCCTGGAAGCGACGACTTCGGAGCGCCTCGTTTACCGATTGGGCTACCCAGAGCAAAGCAATGAGAATCTGTTCTTCGCTTCAACATACCGCGAGCTACATGTTTGTTCGTGCGGGATATCTCTCAAAGTACAGACCCCATCCCGGTACTGGCGAGAGAATGCAGCAGATTGCACCGGCACATGTGCTGTAGAGTAGCTTGTTAGAACTGGAAATTCAACTGGCCTGCAAGCGATGCTCATCAGCTTTGCTCTCTTACGTGGCCCGCGGCCCACAAGAGCACGGCAGGCATCCCACAAGAACACTTGTTGAGAAGCACGCACACGGACCGGAGGAATAAAAAGCGCGTCTCTTGTGCGCTAGGATTTTTTTCTGGCCGTCGCTGGCCCTCTCGTCTATACCACTCGGGCTAAAGATTATTTCGAACATCTACAAATGACAAGAAAGCGACAGCACTATGCTTCCCGTTTATGATATCGGCCTTAACGCATACTCCGAAACGCGCGCATGCAATAAAAGTGACACGGAATAACACGGTGCTAGATGTAACGCAATTCACGAAACGAAAGAAAAGCAGCATAATTACTGTTTCATGTTTTGTTAGGCTGACACTATCCCTTAAGATAGTCCGTATCTATGCCTTCCACAAGCCTTGGTCAGTCGGAAAATACATACACTCGAGGCCCAGATTCACGATTTCCACAGAAATGTGGACACAACACTTCCTTGGCACCGAAGCTGCTTGCAATCTGGTCAATCACCAACGAACACGAGCACAACCACAAGCATCATGACTCCGTAGTGCCAGACGGCACACAGAGAACGATGCAACATTAGTTGTTTCTCGTGGAAGCGCACTAATGCTGCAGGGATAGCAACGCTGCTGTGAACGTGCCCCTGTATGTCGGCGTCGGTTTTGTTGTGTGCCACCACAGCGCACAATGCAACCAGCGTCGTCAGCCCGTTGACATATGCGGTAGAGCTTCAAAGTCGTGACGAAGTTTCTTTTGGGTAGTGGTGGCTCAACTCGCCAAACACATACATACTCAGCACACGCACTGATTGACTCTCGCGCTATCCAGAGAAGACGCTGCCGGTGCTTGCTCGCCTCACACTCATGACATGAAATGGCGCAGCGGTGTCGCGAGAAATTCTAGCGGCCGTCCGTGTTGTTTTGGGCCGCCGAGACAGCAGCCGTGGCCTGCCGGTTGTGCCACTAGATCATATTCTAGTTCACTGAAGTCTAAAGCATTGTTGGTTGTGGTTAAATGGGTACTAAGAGAAGATTTTTAGCCTTGCGTTTTTCTGCTGCATTGTGTTTCGGGGGGCCTGTTAGTCACAATATGACACATTGCTTGCTGCAGCACGCGACAGATAATTAATTACAAGCCCCTCATCATTGGCCTGTTTCAACTTCGGTTTGAGAGAGCTCCTCCAAAAAAGAAAAGCCGCTGTGTGCAACTGTTGCCACCTAGCTTGTGCAGCTCTTGACCACTTCAGCCCACAGAACTGCGAAACATTTCCATTCAGTCCGCATTAAGAATTACTTTTGAATAGGAAACGGGACTGCAGTGTCTCCAAACAGAAAACTTTCAAAGCGTGCACCACGGCCACGCACTCGCGACGAGCCGTCGAGAAGTATAGACTGCGGAAACATAAGCGACAAGAGAGAAATGGTGGCTATGATGTCATCATAAATTGTTTTAATGGCTAAAATGTGGTGACGTGAGGGAAGTAGGGGGTTCTAAAAGGGTCCCCTTCAATGGTGTCAATAGCACGATGGAGTCGAGTGCTCACACAAGCTTCTAAATTAAGTTAGGATACCTTCCGAGCAATATTCACTGTTGATATTTTGCAGATGATGTGCAAATGTTCAAGGGAATCGAACCCGTAGGCTATCTTGGCTGTGAAATTTTGTGTTATACCCCTTTAATAACGCCCGAAATGCGAAAACATTCCAGGTGATTTCGATAGTAGCAAAACGAATACTATTTCTCTGTTGAAAGAGCAAAAGGTGTGCAATTTTAGTGGCAAAATGTCACTTGACAAGGGACACATTCAACAGAACATTCTTGATGCACATGCGTGTTTGATAGCTAACTGCTTGACTTAACTTGGCTTGTCTAAATCACAATCTAGAAGACAGGAATATCTAATCAGTGTGACATCACTGATTGCATCACATTAGTGTGGGATGTGTAAGCTAAGTGTGTTCAGACAGTTTTTCTTTTTTTTTTTTTCAAGTGCTGTTGATTTATTCGAACATGTAATTTGCTGGAAATTTTTTAATATTGCAAGGCCACGCATGCATACGTACTTGCTCTATGCTGCGACAGGTGTGCGGCATGGCATACCTTGTAATTTTTTTTTGCTTGGAAATCGCTTGCCTGATCTTTGAAGCGCCTCTTTGTGTTTTCAGATACACTTGTGCTCATATCTGCTGTTTCTCATGTCACATGCAAACATTTGATTAATAACTTTCTGCACTGGCTGTGCCATGGCATCACAGGCTCTTTGAGATCGCTGTCATGTTCTGTGATATCCCGTCACGATTCTGGGCTTCTCATGCCAGTGCTTAGCCGGAGTATTGTAGCAATGAACCGATTTTGCTACGGTTGTTTTGTTATATAGTAAGTTGTTGAGAGACAGTCGAAATTGACAGAAGACCCTTTATTGTTTCGTTAGAGGCAGCATGCTTGTATTTTTCACATATCAAGGTCTATGCTTGTAAGGAATATTGATTGCAATACATCTTTGGTGCCAGATGCAGCGTCACTATAACCAGTCCTAGGCGTTGGTGCTTCGCATCGCGTACCACGAGGACAACGAAATAAAGACTTGCTCTGCGCTGTCTTCCCACTGTCAACGTTGTCCCATGTGCTGAGAAACCTAGACTATGTAGCATACCCAACCTTGAGGAGGTTGAATGTGACTGGCTTTGTGCAACGCATTGCTGCTTAGAAATTTTCGATGAGATGGATGTCTCGTGCCAAAAGTTGTCACTGTGAGCACTTGGAGAAAAATTGGCATTTTGTCGTCTTGCGGACTGCTAGGAATTTAGTAATCTGGCCCTAAAGATGCAGGGCCGACAATCTCAACCTACTGCATTTCGTGGTGTAAAGCAGCATTAACCGCAATAGACTCATCATGGGGCTGAAAGAAACCAGGAAAATGTTCCATTGAACAGTACCGTTTACCGAGAGGGAAAAAGAGGTGCGAAATTCTAGCATGAAACCATTTTTTTCATCATTCACAACTTTAAAGGGATGAGGACCAAGTTCACAGTGCTGAAGAGCCGAAGGTGAACCAGTAACATTAGAGGCAGTTGTTCCATTCAAGCAGCAATTCCATTTAAGATATCTTAGTTTGCAGAGAGTCTACTGCAATAATTTTTGCATAATGCAGAACCCTACATCGCGACCCAATGAACAATGGTTGCTCTATCAATGCATTCAAAACTGCTATTGTCCAAGTATAACTGCCCCCTTTTATATCGCTTTTTTTTCTTTCTTTCTCTTTCTTTCGTCGTGCAGTGGTTTTACCATTGAGATTGGTGCAGCCTCTACAGTACTGCTAGCGTCTAAGGTGGGCATTCCAATCAGCACCACACACTGCAAAGTAGGCTCCATTGTGTTTGTGGGTTGGGTAAGATCACGCAAAGGCGTCGACTGGGGCCTTTTCCGAAACATCATCATGGCCTGGCTGCTGACTCTACCAGTCACCGGAGGCTTGACTGCTGCAATTACGAGCATCCTGTATGCCGCCTGCTCCCTGTGAATACAGCGGCACCGTCGGCGGTGCCATGCCCAAGTCACGCTGTGTCGGGCCTCAGTCAGACTCGCCACCACGTCCTAGTCTAGGCATCTCCACATCCACTGCTTCTACGATGCGGTCAGCGTTGCCATGAACGTTGCAGCAAGGTTGAAGTTGCCATGAATGTAGTGGCAAAGTTGAAGTTGCCACGAATGTTGTGGCAAAGTTGAAGTTGCCGCGAATGTTGCGGCAAAGTTGAAGTGGCACATCGGTGGTGATGCCTTGCGTGCATGAAAATTGTGGCCCACCCAGCATCCCCGTGCTACTTGGGCTTGCTGGAAGGAGCCAAAACAATAAGACTTTCGTATGTCTTCTTTCTGATCCAACCATGCCAGCTTGTAGAGGAGGACAAACAGTGACAGCCGTGCTGTGATGACTCTTTCAGCTGGCACGAACAAAAAACAAATTTTCATCAAAGGCAAGTCATACAAGGTTGGGCAGGATGAATTGAGGAAACAGTGTTTGCTTCAGGCAGTGTGCTTAAGTGTCTGGAGCAACATCTCTACCGCAGATCGCTCTGATGTCACTGGAGTACCAGCAAAGCTGGTGGCATAAAGAATACTGCGGCAAGCTGCCCCCTAGTGGACCTTTTACAAGAACAGTGTTTGTGCCATTGTGCTTGTTCACACAGCGGAGGAATCGCCGCAGAACTTTTCCTTTTGTTCTCATTTCAGTATGTGCTAGTCTTTGTGGCTTGTCGGTCGGCCTGGAGATATGAATTTTGGGCAGTTTTATCTCTACCATTGTTGACTGTTGGCTAAAGAGCTTGTTTTGTTCAGATTATTCAGTGAGCCGGGTCTCTTGCAATAACGTTCTTCACTAGTCTGCACACAGTTTTTTTACATGAAGATGTAGCTTTATGGGCATAATAGTAATAGCTAGTCTGCCTTGATTTTAGTATACAGAAACACTAGTGAAATCATTGTGCAAGGAATTTATATTTACACTTCTATACCACTGGCTGCATCATTTTGTGTAGTCGTTGTAAATCACGGCACATCTGTTGTTGAACCTTGTTTGTTCTTTGAATGTCAGTTAAGAAAAAGCGGTTGTGATGGGAGACTGTGACCTCTGGTATGAAAGCTAGCTCAGAGAAAGTCAAATGATGCTATCAACATTAAAAAGCTCTTTCTTTTGTATATGTGTGCTTAAGGTAGCACCTTTATGCTCCATGAGCCAACTTCTTGTCTGAGGAAACCCGTGGAATGAATGTTGTTAATAAATATAGTATAATGTAGAGTGTGCATGTAAACCCATGGTATAAATCGAGTCAGATATGCTTGCCTATACACTCAGTCAGGCTGTATTTACTTCCGAGACATTTTCAATATATCATGATGGTTGATAGGATATATCAGCACACAGTTGCTTTCATGTACAGTGAATTTTATAGTGCACAGTCAGTCAAGAACTTTATTAAATGGTCCTGAGGAGTTTAAGCCACCAGGGTTTTTCTAGTTCATTGTGCCTTGTTCAGCGTGAGACACTGCGGTCTATACAAGTCGTGTACTCATGTCAGCCGTAGTTGTCAGCTGAACGTGGCCACATTCTATGTCGCTTCGCAACCACAGCCATTTGTTAGTGTATTTAACAACCGTGTGTTATTCTGCCACAAAAAGCATTTCGATGTGTTTTTGCTTAAGATAATCATTGGCCCACACAGCATAATGAGTCATTTGCAGTGAATGTGTGCCTAAGAACATCGTCGGCGGAGAGATCAAAGTTTGCAGTCGGTCTGGCATGAATGTGAACCACTTTTTGGTAACTAGACCTTAATGGTGTTCATGTTTTGGAAAATGGGGAAGAAATATAAAGTGACTGCAGTTGCTCATGAAAAGTGCACACACGCAGGGTTCAACAGAAAAGCCATCTTTTCGCAGTTGAATGTTCGAGATGTGGCTGATGTGACTTTGCATGGCGTCCTTTCGAGTATACAGGTGTTAGGTTTGCCATCGAAGTGGAAGAAAGTTGTACATTAATTGCCACTTTTAAAAGGTAGTTTTTTGTCTGGTGTCCTTTAGTTTCACAGTTTGATAAAATGTTAGCTGCATACTGAGCATTCTGAAATGGTTTGTTTGCAGCCTCTGCTTTTTAAGCAAGCAAAAAATTTTAAGGGGGTCATGCAATGTTTCTTGAATCTTCCAAGCAATGGCGAAGTGTTGTCCTGTTGCCATCATATGAATGAATTAGCTGTGTTCTAACTTGACTCTTACTTACCACAATTGTCATCAATAGTGCATCGAGGCCTTGATAGCTGTTTATTACCTAAATGCTATTCAAATGAATTTTTTCGTAATATTTTTGTAATGTGCAACCGCTTAACCATGTAGCTTTTTTGAGCTTATACAGAAGAACCTCCATGGTCGTAAAATTTATTAGGGCAGATGAAAGATGCTTGTGGTGAATGGAAAGAAGGCAACATTGGTAGGTATGGGTGGTGTTAGTTTGAATGAAATCTTGCATTAATGATAGCAGTAATTATGAACGCATTCCGTTGTGTGCATTTGCCATAGAGCTGGAGTAACAAGTAATGTAGTGTAAACTTAAAACATATTGATGCATAATAATACGTACTCGTCTCACTTAGTCACAAAAATTTTAAGCCTGCAAATTCAGGCATAATTTTAATTGTCATTCATTGTTTAAAGCAAAAAAATTATGGCTTCTGCTGTCCCCCCAGAAATAACAGCATTTTCATGTATGTGTAGTGCCAGTCGATTTGCTTTACTCTTTAAATATGTTTTTAATTAACACTCATGAACCGTGTGCTTATTTTTAATTTTTTACTCTCACTGCATTTTCTGTTGTTGCTGTGGTAAAGGTATAAGTTATAGGATTTAGATATGGTGGGGATTAATGGAATGTCGTAGATCTGGGTTTTTGAGAGTTTGCAGCCCAATTGCCAAGTTTTAAACGATTCACAATATGATCTGCATTTTTCTACAGTTAGGAGAAAAAAAAATTTTTTTTACAACTTCATCTCTAATTAGCAGAACCTGTTTAAGGGAATCACTCTAGCATATAAGGTTTAGGTCGGGGAATTACAATTTAGGTCACTGAAGTTTAAGGTAAAGGGCCCAGCCCTTTTCGATAATAAAGCTCTTAAGTCACATGTAGCATTTGATTAAAGCCTGCCGGGTGAACATGTCTGTTACGCGAGTGTTTTTTAGCACTCCCGGTTTATGACGCTTTTATTATAACTACTTAAACAGCATGAAAATTGCAACCTAGATTATAAGAACCCACTGAAGGAACTTTTAGCTGCTTTTGAAGTTCTGGAGACCTAAGCTTTCAGCGCGGGCTCGTTGTGTGGTCATTGTCAGCTGTTCCCTCGGGCTCGGCATAATGAGACTGCTCTGTACTCTACCTCAATGTAGCGACATATTTTTGTATATTGAAATTGCTCCTAATAACCAGCACAGCTTTTGCTTTCACGAGCCTGCTGCCGCATCATTTTCCCATGTTTCTGGGCCCTGCGTGGTCTAGGACATTGCTAAACTGGCCGATGTTTGAGGAACGTTATCATCAAAAACTGACAGAAAAATATTGGTGACGTTGCCAAATGCGCCTTTGAAGGCTTGGAGCAGTTTTCTTCAAAATGGGCTATTTACTGAAGTACAAGTTTATATATAACTAAAAACAGCATACTGCTTTGTTAACTTGTAAATAGCACTGCTACTTTTCTTAGATGCTAAACATTTCTTGGGGACCTTGATGTGGTCACTTGTGTGCATATTGATTCTTTATCATTAAGTCAGCTACTCTTTTGTGCTTGAATTTCAATTGTTCATAGTTCAAGCTTGCTATTAGTCACTTTTTTTTTTTCGTGTTCGACATTTTCGCAAGTTGATTGCTCAATGCATGTTTTTGTTATTCCTGCTCTCGTTGACTGTACATCTTTTTGTGTGTTTTTTTTACACTGCTGTTCTCACGCGTACAGTAAACCTAAGCTGCTGAGGTCTGAAGGCATTGCATTTTAGTCTTTACTTGGAATGGATCATTGCATTGCCAAAGCAATTGTGTACAGGGATAAGTATTAGAGCTAGATGAAATTGCTGGATCTAATTTATACCTTGAGGTAGCTGCATTTTATCAATAAGCTGCAGTTTATTTCTGAATCTGTTAGCTCTTGTTTTGAAGTTTACAGTGTTTTCTTTTTTTTTTTACCTTCCAAGAGAACGAACCTTTCTCTCAAATTGGCAGTGCAAGACAGCTTGTGTTAGTCCTGCATACCTAACAGTGATGGTTGCTGCCAATAACACGAGTATTTTAATTTTGTTTTAAAAATACTGTTTTTAAACTACTTAGGTGCAGTCTGTGTGTGATTCATCAGTCCAGTTGGCGCTAATCGAAATGTGCTGTACATAGCTAGGGAGTTTAGCTATTTGGTTGCTGTGAAACTTCTTTGCCCTGTATCTTTTGCTGAACATTTTTTCGTTCATGCAGAGATGAAATTGTGTGACCACATTTTGTCTAAAGTATCATCGGCTTGTTATATTGCATGTCTGTCATTGAGCAATCCGCCTGCTGTAAACTGTGCTTACTTGCACATTGGTTGGTGTAACTTACTCTGTTTACTTTGCCATACCTAGTCTGCTTTGTTCATAAATCAACATATGTTATTTCACCAATTTGGTGTATGAACCTGCAGTCGTTTCACTTGTTTGTGACATCATGCCCTCCCTTTGGGAATTGTGCCGAATCTACAAGATACATGAGGTACTGCTATGGTATCATATAAAGTAGACTTGGTGCATTTTTCAAATTTTTCAAAAAAAAAAAAAGAGTGAACGAATAGTTTGTTAAAGAACTATTCCCAGTGAGTCTGGCCTTCAGAGCCAGCTGTACAAATAAACTTCGTAGTTCTATAGAAGCTCTGTTGTCTTGTCTGTGCTGACGAATTGCGCTGAATGCTCTGGCATATTGACTAAATTAGAATTTTTATTGTTATTTGAGTGATAATCACAGTGAAACACGGTGCTCTCCTATAAAGAATGCTTTTGTATGCAATAGTATGTCAAACTTTAGGAATTTACTTGCCTTGAACACTGCAGTTGCCCATTTTTTTCTGACAAGTGGTCTCCCTGATCACGCATAAAAAATTGAATTCTTACACTATTCTAACAGAAGAAAATGGCTTAATGATGGGCATAATTAAATGTTTATATAGTGGATATCAGCACCATTTTGTCTGCCATCTCTTATGGTCAATTTGGTTTCAGATTTTTGTGGTCTCCTCTCCACCCATACCTATAGCTTATCACTGTTGCATGAGACTGAAAGGTTTAAACGAAACGTAAGGAGGTTAACCATAAGAAAATTTCTGGTTTGCTACCCTGCATTGGGGAAGAGGTCGTGTGAGAACTACTGTTGAGCTCTATGTAATCAGATTAAGACATAGCAAAATGCTGTACTTCTATAACAAATTTTGTGCAATCTTCATACTGGTTTAGCGGAGCTAAATATCACCATACAGTTTTTAAATGCGAAGCATTTCTTGGTGAACTTCGGTGACTTAGAGCGTAACTATCTATCTAGCTGCTCACGTTTAGATGCTCTTGTGGTCACCCCCTTAACTCGACATGAACCAAACTTAGCGTGAGAGGGTAAGATGGTTGGATGAATATGACGTGCTGCTCAAGACCTCAATAATGTCACAATCCCGTCACGTATGTTGTCAAAGACGTTACGCCAGACAGTGGCACATACCCGCGGGTGGGTATGTGCCGCTGGTATGCTGGTATGTGTCACCGGTGATAGACACTTAGTATCTACCGAGGAACGACGAGAACACACATAGGCAATTCGAACATGTAAGCGTTAACAAATTACCAAAATTGGTAGCGTCAACCCGACGAATGCAAACAATAAATGTCGGGGTCGCAGCTGGAATCGAACCCAAGCATTCTGTGTAGCAATGAAGCATTTTACCACAGAGCTACGCCAGGTCTTGGAACTACTTTTCAAATAGATGGTAATCTTCGTCAAACGTCAAAAGTTGTTGCAGTACTGCCTACCCAATTTTATAAACATTACACATGTGCTCCTTTCATACATCCGTCACGTCGGACTAACGTCAATTGTGGTTAGTTGTCATGCGCTGAAATTGATTCATGTGGCAGTGTTCAGGGCCAGCATCCTCTCGAGCATCAGCGCTTCATATCAGCTTCTGGTGTTGCTAACACGTATGTTCCAGTTGTCATCGTTGCGCAAGTGCAAATAACTGGTTATATAAAGATCTGCAACTCTTCAACATATGTCTTTGCGTGTAACGTTTGTACCTATATTTAGCATCATTTCATGACATATCACACAATAAAGAAATTGCAGCACGGTCACCTTCTCACCGCATGCTTTGCATAATGTCGATGCCCAGGTACGTGGGATCTGCCGAATTCTTTTGTTTAGTCAATATGAATTTTTTAATAAAATTTTTTGTCGGTAAGGCTCGTGTCATTTTTGCACGCGAAGTTCACGTAGTGGTGAAAATACTTTGCCGCTGTTAGCATGACACTATTGCGAATAGTTAACAAAAGTTGTTCAATCAACTTTATAACTATTCGCTTGAGGGCAAATGTTTATGTTACTATGTTGTGTCAATTTATGGCATACCTATTTTTTCGAATTAGCAGAATTTGAAAATTTCAACTTGATAGAAAAAAATCTAAAAGATTTTTTAAAGTTAAAAATGGCCTTTATAAAGATATTTTCAAACTTCGGTGTTTTTAGTAAACCACTAACTTTTCATCACAACTATGCATTAAAAGAAGGCGAAGGTTATCAAAGTTGTACAGAGTATGTCGAATATGTACCGAGTTTCATTATCCATAGCTTAAATTGTTCGAAACAGTGAATTCCTGAAATACAGATATTTTGTGCAGTTTGGCATATTTGTGTTTTTTTTTTCTCTAAAGTTTTTCAACAAGAAAAATACTTGCTCCACAACATTGTATATCACTTTTCTTTAAGGTAAATAAATGTTTTTACTTGACAAACTTTTTTTCAGAATGTGTGCGCTCTGTTTGCAGAAATAGCGAAGTTTGAGCAAAAGCGTTTCTCATCAACCTTTCTTTTTTCTGGTGAACAAATTTCCTTTCACGAAACAAAGTTCCAAACCATTGCTCTGGCGCCAATGCTTAGGTGAACAGTACATATCGTCAAAACTGGGAATGGGGACCAACACCTCGTTTTCGATCTTAACTGGACACACTCGAGAGATTTTTGTGGAATTTTCTTGCACTCTTGTCCATTAGTCTTTCCAACCAATCGACAGGGAAAGCCAGGCGTTCCAATTTAATGCTTCAAAATACTCAACCAAGAGGGCGGCGAGGACTCGAGCCTCGTGAGCCTGGCAAAGGTACCCCTCCGGCGCAATGTTGATTGATTGATTGATTGATTGATTGATTGATCCTTTTATCCTGGCGCAGCCCACCATGAGGGTTCGGCCATGAAACTAGTGGTGCCTTGCTATATAAAAGATTTTGTTAGTTTCAAAGTGTCAAGCAATAGATAGTTTTGAAATCATATGTTAGATTATGTTAGGCTTGTTAGGGAAAGAAGACTAATGTTTTTAATGATGTGGTTGATTTTGATAACCTTGGGAATTAATCAATTTGAATAAATAAAAACATGACCAATTTTTTAATGTGTTCGATTTCGATGAACTTGGCATTCAATTCGCCTCGTCTCTTGTAGGAAATCGCAGACGGCCTCACAAATGTTCCTGTTGCTAAAACATAGCATGGTCGCCCCAAAGGAAAGGAGCACCGAAAGGGATAACTTTAATCTCAACTTTCGAAGCGGTTTGATTAGAAGTCCTTTATTCTGATTGGTGAATAATCTGCTCGTTAGAAAGAAATGATCTAAGGATTCACTGTCAATGCACTGGAGGCATAAAGGTGACTGCACCAGACCAGACCTGTGTAGGTAAAGGTTCCGTGGGGGGACTCGGCATCGTATTCTGGTAATTAACTTGTATCTCGGCCCTTCTGGAGGAGCACCATCGATTTCTCGAACGATAATTGAGGTGAGGTTAACTAGGAAGCTGACAACGCAAACTTAGCGAATTTGTCCGACGTGGCAAATCTTTCAAATCGCGCCACATTTACAAACTTCAACATCGGCAAAATAGGCATTATAGGACCATTATGTGATGCAAGTGCGAGTGGATCCGCATGTTCATTGAGAAGCAGCACCTTTGTACCATGATACCCACACCCAGCGCTTTATACGTATATGTCCTGGAATAAGGGAATAAAATACTTTTAAAGAATTAGAAAATTTAGACGCAATTAATACGAAAGTGATGGATAGGCTGTCTGTCGTAATGACAGCCTCTGATATTGATAGGGGTAATTGCTGTAAAGGTAGAATAATGGTGATACCGCACGATAGATAGGTGTAAGGTCAGGTAAACGAACTGAAAAAGACCAATCCAGAGAAAATGAAGCAATTCGCACCCTTGCCTTTTCATCACAAACTGAAGCATCAGTTGTTATCATTGCAGCCGTTTCTAAGCTAGCCAAATGGTCTTCCAAGATGCAATTTGAGTATCTACTGTGCAAATGTTTGCAATTATTGGAAAATATGTCAAATTCTATTCCACTTTTTTGTGCAGCTGTGCTTATGATTAGTATTTCACGGAGCTGCACTAATAATGTTTCCAATTGTTTCTGTGCGAAAGTGACTTGGGGACACCTTAACGTTCTTCACTGATGATCGAATAATTGCGTGAGTTGATTAATAAAAATATATTGCGATCTCGTCTATGGCAATGCACATATCTTTAGGAATGTTCGTACTTTTAGGAAGTTAAATCGAGCACGAAGAGAAGGCAGGCGTGCTTCTTTCTATAAAATATTATTTGAGACGAATTTTGCAACTCTTAGACACACTCGTAATGCTTTGCGTTCTGGGACAACTAGAGGTTGCAGTTTGTGTGCAGGTGCACCAGAAAACAGGGCGCAGCTGAACTCTAATATCGGGCGAATATACATGCAGTAAATCACGATGAGAACACCCCGGCGTTAACCTAAACGCTTGCTGCTGAGTCTACGAAGCATCCCTAGCGCACTTGTTCCTTTAGCAGTCATATTTTCTATATGCGGACTCCAATTAGGTAATTCAGTATAAGTGACCCCCTAAATACTTAACAGATTCCACCTGCGCGATTACGTCTTGCCGATAAAACAAACTCTTATGTGGACCGGCACACTCGGAGAAAAAAAAACTACAATTGCACTTTTTTGATTACTTTAAGTGGTGTATATATTTTCTGACCACGTTTCGAGAGCGTTCGTATACGTCTGCAGACTTTGATAAAGTGTGTGTATCTACACAGCTGTAGCGAAGAAAAAAATGCCAAGTCTGCGCGGTAGGCGCAACACACTCACAGCGAAAGCTAAAAGAGCGGCCTTTCAGAGTCTTTTCAGAACACTCAATAGGTAACTTTGATACCAACTAGGGAATTAATAATTTTTGGGGGGTAGTAGGCCGACATTCGCTATGCTATTTTTCGCCATTCTTCTAAAAAGCGTATAGTATCCGCTAAACACTTGCATGGAATTTTGTGCCAATTGTCCATGCAGTGGCTGACGACGATGAGGAATCATTGCTGAAGTGGGTATGCGCCACAGTTAATAGGGGAACAAGAACAAGTTTTCGTGATGGTTTGGAGCATTGGACGGCCCCCCTCGTTACGCTATTCCCATTGTGCGACGACTGGTTGTTCTTTCGCTGTTGTAAAAAGCTTTGTAAATTGTATTAACGCGATTACTTTCCCAACATCAAGCCTGCCTAAGGCAAGTTTGACAAGTCTCAAGCACCGGTGTAGCTCAGTGGTAGAATACTGGGCTGGCGCATAGCGGACCTTGG